CCTTGCCATGCAAACCCAATACATGGGGGTTGCCAGCCTATTGAAAACACATAAGTATCTGGATTAATTTGAGCACTGGAACCTGGATGGGACCTGTGGGCCCAAGGTGTACCAGCATGGACTCAGCTCCGCTGCCGAGGGCAGATACACAGTAAGTGCAGCGCACAATAAATGATGCCAGAGGGGAAGCTGATCCCTTCCTACCGCAGTGCAGAGAAGGCAGCTGACATCAGGAGAAGCCCTGGGGACTGCAATATTAGTTACTCCTTCGAGGCAGAGCTAGCTGTTGAAGCTACAAAAGCAGCAGGTGCTATCTCAATAACTTAGCCAAGCATCTAAATGTTTTTCTCTTATTTTTCTAGACCCTTGGCTGTGTAGAACAGTCTGGGGTGGAGGAGGTTACACCTGCATAATGTGAAGCCTTGCAGATGTGGAGCCTTAGAAGGGGCAGCTTAACTGCTCCGAGTGATATAGGTTATAATACTAGATCATTGTGTATCTCTGAAGACTATCCTACAAAGAATACTTTTGATAGATAAATGGATATTTTAGTTCCAATAAGTTAAATGCATTTAAATTTCTATTTCCAACTCCATGAAGCATAACTTCTAGGCTGTCTTGGTTCATTGCTTTAGCATCTACTCATATAATTCCTTCAGTATCGTAAAGATTTATGCATATTTTGTCTAGAGGCTAGATCCAAAGTTTTTCAAGAGCTTCTTTACCCTTACTTTATGCATATGGATGCTATTCTTCAAACATCATTCACACACTTTCTGATAACCAAGCAGAGAGAAGGGTAATATATTAGTCTTAAATGCAAACTTCGCTATAGTCAGGAAGGATCTCCTTTTTTTTTTTTCATTAATCTTTGCTAGATAATAATATTTATTTCAAAGTTGTTCTTTTGTGCATAAACCAGTATGTTTGAACTAGCTGTTAAAAAATAATTTGAGATACAGTGACTTTCTAAGTAAAAACTACAGCTCCAGAAATAGCAATGAATCATGATTTTTTCAAAATGTTGCAGAAATTAGTGCAAGTTATGTTTGTGTAAAGCATAATGCACATTTTCATGACTTTCCATTTAGACTTGGAAAAGAAATCAAAGTTTTAAAGGATGCATAAGTTGATGTTTACCAAGAGACTGTAAATCAAGAAGCTAATATCTTCTATTTAAATTATTAATGAGACCATGATCACAAGTTAGGTAAAAGTCATTTATAGAATGACACTATCATTTCTGCAGGTTTTCTATGTTATTAACTCCAGTAAACTCAAGAGGAGAAATATTCTGGATGGATTATTACTGCCCTTTGACTTCAGTTTTAGATCAGGTAGCAAGTTTTAGAGTTTTAGATCTGATAGCAAGTTTTATGACTGTTTACATATTAATGGTTACTCTTTGTGCTGTGACAGGGTGTTTCTTCCTTAAGATGCCTGTGAAGACACAGAGCCTTCTCTAGAGTACTTTGATTGCAAAGTAAACTTCTACCATATGTAGTCTCCTGTTTAGCTGGTAACCATGGGCTTGACAGGCACAACAATTTTAAGTAAGTTCCCAGGTGCCATCAAAAAGATTGCTTTTAGTAAGAGTGCCCACCTTGACATCCTTCAAGAGAAAAGGTCTGTGTTTCACCAAACCGCCTTGCACATGCCAAGATTTTCGCTGATGGCTGCTATGATAGATCTCTGCAGCATTTCTTTTTCTTACAGGATGGCCTACTGTGGGAGATGCTCGAGGTTTTGTGGAGAAGGGCTAACAGCAGTGCATCCTCTGTAAAACTGACCATTGGAGAGGCATGTTGTAGTCAGATCACAGCAGCAAAGATGACAATGTACGAACAAGGCTATAGGCTGTAGGGATGAGGTGCTTGTCCTACATTTTCCAGCCTGCAAGAATATTTTTCC